TTTCGTTAAAAAGACAATTGGAAATTACCTTAGCCTGACTCACTTACTGTCCCCAGCGGAGTCGCCAAGCTGTCGCAACCGTCTTTCAGTTGGGCCCCGGAATTGGGCTTCGACTTAGAAAAATGTGGATTGGAGTCGCCACCGATCATTTATTTAAAAATAAATGGGTTGATCGGATACCCTATTTCTTACCTGATCCGCGTCTTACCAAAAATATGTCGGGCTCGGGAGTCGGTTACGGTCAAGGAAGGATTAGCACCCTTGAACCGCCCTTTCGGTACTACGTAATTTCTAGTTGTCTTAATTAAGAAAAATAACAAGTTAAATTAAAAGGTAAAGTTTCGATCCTAATTACTTACCCTTGATTGATTTGAAAATATCCTTTAAAAAATCGAGAAATGTGTTAGATAAACAAGGTAAAGAAAACAAATAAGATACAAAGGAAAAATAAAATAAATAAAATAAATAAGTAAGATAAGAAAAAAAATAGTAAATTAATAATTATATATAGTAATATTTGAAAAAAGGAGAAAAATATAAATATATATATATATATATATATCAAAGTATTAATAAAATAAATAAGCTATATATATACACCAAATACTTAAAAATAGAAAAGCTACCCTCCCAATTCACCGAAAGTGGGGGGCTTTAATAAGAAATAAGACAAAAAAATGGGACATCTAGGTTAGTAGTATATAATATAATGTTTAATAATAATTATGATAAAGACACAAGATTTTTTTTAAAAAAATAATAATATAATAATAATGAATAAAAAACGAAAATAATAAAAAATAATATAAATATATAAAGTTATAAGATATATTACATAAATAAAGAAATAATCAAATAAAAATAATTAAGAATTTATATATTTAATAATAGGTATATAAATAAACTATTAAAAGTATAAAAAATATATACGACTAGGTAAAGATAATTACAATATATATAGTAATATTAGACTTATAAGTAAAATATTAAAGAAATATATATATATATAATAATAAAATATAGTAAAAAATAAATGAAAATAATTTAATATATATATATATATACATATAATAATAATAAAAATAAATGAATAAAATGTTCATATAATAAATAAAGGGACTAATATAGATTTTTAAAAAGCTCTTCCCCTCCTTTAACCGAAAATCAAACCGGTTTTTAAAAATAAGCCTCGGGGTAGATCTAGGTTCGAAACTTCGAAACCCCACCTATTTTGGTCATCGGCGCAACCCACGTTTTGGGTTATTCGAACCAAATCTCAAGAAAAATAATGTGCACATGCAAAAGAAAGAAAAAAGAAAATGCTACCTTTTATTCTCTTTTCGAATCATTTACAATAGTTTTGCCTTTGTATCTTCCCGTGCTTTCCTCTATGTTTTGTGTGTAAATCGTGTGTTACAATGGCTATTTATAGTGCTTGTGGATCTTATCTTTAGGAATTTAAATCTTAGTAGAACTCTATCCTATTTTTAGGAGTTTGAATCCTAGCAAAATTTTATCCTATTTTTAGGAGTTTGAATCATAGTAAGACGAAAATGTGTGTTGACAAATACATTTTTAGATATTCAACTTACTTAATCCAAAGGTCTATGACAACTCCCAATTCAAATTGATTTTAAAAACCATCATTTCTCAAAAGTACGTACAAATTTTATTTTGTTAAACAAACATTACGACATAGCTGAAATAAGGAATAGTACTGATGATGATGACCCTTTTCCTATTTGAACTTGTTTTCTCCTTCTTCTTCATGTTGTTTATGATGAGTATCCATGATTGAAACTTTCAGACGAAAAATTTAGACAAAAATTTTGGGGCAAAAAGATAGGAACTAAAATATAAGTTTTGGTGGAATGTAAATTTTCGGACAAAAAAAAGAAAGATTGTGGAGTAGTACATCAATGGATTCTTTATCTTCACGTGATTTCTCTTACAACTTTCAAACAAAAATTTTGGGGAAAAGAGATAGGAATGAAAAATCCTAAATTTAGTTTAGGGAATTAGTTTTTTTAAAAGAAGAAGAGGGGCTGTTGAAGGCTTTTAAGTCTCCAACATGGTAGTCAAACCCAGTCCATGTAAGCAGTTAACGTGCCAGGTGTGTTCCGTCACGTATGTTAACAGCTGTTAACGTCGAGTGACTATTTTATAACAAATAATAACTTTATTGATCAATTTGTGACTTTTAAAACATCAGTGATGAAAACAAATAGTAACTCAAACATTAGTGATTGGTGTACTTTAGCCTATATATTTTCAAGCAAGAGCCCACCATCAATATTATCAACAACTATTATAATATCATTAACAACTATCACGAGTAACAGATAAAAAAAATCATGATTGACATATATGTATTAATAATAAAAAACTTTTCTATGGGTGAATACAAATAAAATTTCAAGGTGGACACCTTAAATAAAATGAATAACTAATATAGAGAAATTCGAGTTTCAGAGTGAGCACTTGCCTACCCTGACTTGTGCATATATCTACCACTAACTAGCATGTTATTGGTTAGAATATTTCTAACCTAATATTTATTTAAAATATTTTTAATTTTTTTTATAGCGCACACGTAATATGAAGATGTAACTGCTCAAATTTAATATCTCTAAAAAATAATATTATCTTTTATCACTATGATCGCTTGTTGTTTTTTGATTAAGTTTAATTAAAGTCATATATGTATTCTTGTATATAAATTATGATTTAAATATATGATAAACTACATGTTTAATACTTTAACTATCACTTTTGTTCTATTTTGGTTATTCAATTATTTTTTAAGTCATGCTTAGTGTTTAGTTTTAGTTTCGTTTTGGCCACTCGTTGTTAAAAATTAACAAAACTGTTCATTTGAAATTTTTTATTATTTTTTCAGTGATAGAAGTTATGCTAATTTTTTAACAAAAGTGACCAAAATAAAACAAAACAAACTATTAGGCATAATTTTAAAACAAATAATTAAGTGACCAAACATAACAAAAGTGATAATTAAAATATTAAACGTATAATTTATCTTAAAATATATACACACCATATCATTAAAGGAAAATTCAAAATACACTAATAAATTATAGATCACAAACGCATTATAGCGTATCATATCATAAAAATATTTGTAATCGTTATCTTAAAAAATAAAATTATCAATATCTAACCAACGATCAAATTGTACTCACCAAAAATCATGGCCCCTTTTCTGTTAATTTCTTAATATATGACATGACAATTAAAACTGATAATTTTTTAACAAATTAATAATACATACATCGTACTGTTAAAACACAAACTTTTTTTTAAAAAAAAATAATATTCTTTGTCACCGCTAAAAATCATTTGATGATTCCTCTCGTCGCTTTTTTTAAATATAGAACCTCGTGTTTCAATAATTTTGAGCATTGGTTGTATTGATAACATATTACAAAATAAATAAAATAAAATAACAAGAAAAAAGAATATAGAGATAAATAGTATTATTTTTTCTATATGAATTATATACAAAACTTTCTCTACACCTATATTTATAGATATGAAGAGCATATATCATATTAAACTCTAAACCTAATAGACATTACAATTCTAATAATAAAACATAATAAAATCTTATTTAATACATAGAATTTTAATTATAATTAATATCTACAAATAATAATTATAACATCGAATAATTAATTGCTTTATTCTTCTTCCTCCTCTCTTTTCACTTTTTTTCTTCTTTACAGCTTACGACAATTTTATTGATCAATTTAATTTTTTCTTCTTTAGTATTGTTTAATCGGCAGCGACACCGGTTTTAATGTTGGTTGCCGCCCGTTGGTTATCTTTTTTTCTTTTTTCTTTTTAATTTTTTAATAAGAATAATTGTCTTTGTGACATGTTCTCTGTCTTTATGACACGTTTATCTCTTCCTTTGTAGCATGTTTTTCTCTACCTTTTGGTAGCTTACAGTTTTTTGCCGTTGTTTTTGTTTATCTTTTTTTCTCATGATTAGATTTGAATCGCCACGACTGATCAAGATGACGTTTATTTGTTATTATGATGATCTTTCCTTCTTTGGACCCTCGGATTGATTTGGATACGCATTTTGCGTTCGTGGATAGTTTTCTCACGTCGCTTGACTTTGATATGTGATTTTTCGGTGGTCTTTCAGTAGCTTCACCCTCTTTTGTGGGTTGTTTACCGATGCAGCCAGATTTGTTCCTATTTTATTCGAATTTTTGGTTAGGTTTTTTAACCTTTTCCTTCTTTGGTCCTTATATGATCTAGGTAACTAGTTTTTGTCTCAATAGTAATATGAAAACGTCATAATTATATTTTAAGTTTATGATTATGCTTGTAAATCTTCATTGTAATTTTGGACATTTTTTATTTTTAATAAAACTAGCGACTTTTTATAAAAAAAATATTGAATCATTAATTTTTATATTAAAAAACATAAAAGAAATTTGGTAGTTTTCAAAAAATTATGAGTTCATTTAACTTTTTTCATATTTTTTCTTTTTTTTTAAATTTTTAGATTTTTTTATTTAATGACACATGGCATCATGTCGTCATTAGATATGTCAATTTTTTTGAATACAAAATAATGAGAGGAAATGACTAACTACTAGCTTCAGACTTGAGTTAGATACTTGTGATATCCAAATAACATGGACAGAAACATACGAGAGAATAATGGGTATACAAGATGATAGTTAGGGGTCAGATAAAAAAAAATTACAATTACCAAATTAATAATGTGTTTATTGTATAAGGACCAAAACAGGTATTAAACCAATATAAAAAGCCAACAGTAGTTAGGTGTAAAGTCCAGAAATCGACTCTAATAAGTTCAGCCAAAATTAGGGTTAGGGTCATCGGTCTTTGTTTATAAACAGATAACGTGACACGTGGACAGAACTGGTTGGACCAATATGGATAGGGGATATCAAACTAATGGCTGGCTACCAAGCAAACTGCTCTGATTGTGGACTAACCAACAACATTGTCTCGTACAATTCCATACAAAAATCATATTGAAAATCACTGCCATTGTACCAAATACATCACCTAGCTGTAGTAGCCTGATGAACATGGCAACCATCTCAGCCACCACTACCTCATCGCTCATTTCTGCAACAATTCTCTCACACAAGCCATCACCGAGGTTTGCATCTCCTGTTGTTATCGGTAAGTTAAGTGGTATAAACGATACAGTGTCTAAAGTTCAGTAATATCTAACGTACTTCACTTAATAAATTTTACTCTTTAGGGTTGAAGAGAGGGAAAGTTATGTGTTCCTTGGAGAAGAAGGAAGCTGGTGTTGTGGAGAATGGCTCGACGAGTATCCGTTTGAGTGGATCGTTGTTGGCTGCCGTGTGTGCGGCGACCGTGTCGAGCCCGGCCATGGCTCTGGTGGACGATAGAATGTCGACGGAAGGAACAGGGCTTCCCTTTGGATTGAGCAACAACCTACTTGGGTGGATTCTGTTTGGTGTGTTCGGTTTGATTTGGGCGCTTTACTTTGTTTACACTGCCACCCTCGAGGAAGATGAGGAATCTGGATTGTCTCTCTAAGGCCTAAGCCAAACTTTGCTGGGTTTTGTTATTTTTGTTTTTGCAGATATTATGTTCAAATTAGCACTAAAACTGCTACCTTCATGCTCAATGTGTACTTCGTTTTGTCTGATGTTTCTCTTTGGTAACTTCATCTTCTATGTGTTGTTTCTTTTTCTATTCTTGATTTGGTTAGCATGATCATAGATATAAGACAGGATGACAGTGATTATAGTTGGAATTGATCAAACTCTTTGATTGAAATTATATTAAAATTTTGAGATATAAAATTTAATTAGTAAATATAAAATAAAAAAATTAATTATTATTTCTTGATAAATCATATTGATATCTAATTATTAATCGATTAATCCAAATCAAGTACAAATCCATTAAAATATAATATCGATTCTTCAACTACAGCGTTCCGAGAACAAATTGATACACTACAATGTTTATATTATACTGGGATCATTTATCCTTTTTTCCATGTCCCACAATCCAAAAAAAAAAAAAAGCAGACGAACAGAGAGCCTCACTACAGAAGAGCTTCCATCCATCATTGTACACCTTTTCTGATACAAAAAATGAAGAGCAAAACAATTGAAGCTTCGACAATACTTCCCCTTTACTTCTACTTGTCAATGCATCAATTGAGTGGATGAAGGATGAACTCTGGGATTTCCCTTTTACCCTCATGTCTATGGAGGAGGATTCGTTTCTGGCTTGACAACGGAGGAGGTATCTTGTAGCTGCGTGTGGTAGATCGCGGTGGCGAGTGGCACGGGCATAATGCAAAGAGATTTCGATTGGAGGATTTGCATGGCAGCTCCAACGTCTTCTTCCATGAGCTTAGCTACTTGTTGCTCTGTGACGTCGTTCGACCACTTCTCCCATGCCTGTTGAATTCTTCCACTCTCACCACTTTCAAACTGATGTATGTAATGGAGGAAGCTCAATCATCTTAATCGATACAAAAATGGACATAACACGTCGAACGTATACATGGTTACTTATTTATTTACCTCTACTGATGATATCGGAATGTCCGTTACAAGCGGTGCCACTGCACCGGCTCCGCCCAACCTACTCATGCTCAAAACCTGTTAAACAATCAAATATTGGCAGGAAAACTTGCAATACTATCGTCGCATTCATCGAATAAGTACGAAAATCAAACAGTTAAAGAGAGAGAATGGTACCTTAACTTGGAGCCGAAGGAACTTCACATAATCTACGATTTCATCAAGCATGACTGCTCTATCAGTCTGTACAACAGAAACATTTGTCACAACTAAACGAAGTTACATGCCATGACAGACAAATCTACCATTCCCTAATGTGCAAGTCATTTCACAAGGTAAATGAAGTGATAAATAAAAAGTACTGACCTTGTTGACACTAGGAACAAGTTCCTGCAATGCCCTGATTCGTTCCGTAATTCTCTCCCGACGCAACTGTACCAAAAGCGAAACACCTAATGAAATTAGTCACTATCGATTCGATTTTCCAGTTTCTATCTTTTCACAAGTTTCCTTGCTAAGAAACTTGCTCCTGCCTGTTGATTCTACATTCTAACCCAAATTTGGCATGGTTACTCATAATAACTTAAGCTTACTCGTTCAGCGATGCTGTGAGGATCTGTGGCCTGTCCTCGTCTAGCACGCACCCTCGGGCGCATTGCGGGAGGACTCGGTGATGCAGTAACAGTTGCTTGCATAGATTGGCCAGGAAAAACCTGGAATATTATATATAAATCATATCATCAATGATAGAATTGATAGAATTTATAGAATAAGAGAACTAGCATCAATGCATCTTTTCTCTCCTGCCCGCCCATCTTCTCTCAACAAAGGGAAAATATGGTAAAAGGAGAAAACCACTGCAGTACATATTTGTCAGAGGACAGTATGATCTGATGTTTATATGAAAATAAACATACTACAAGCTGGAAAATTTGAAGCAATTTTTTATATCAGTATTGGCATTGAGTATTGATACTATCTTGGTGGTACAGATACGAAATGTCTAGGTTTCGATACTACCATGATGGTATCGATATTAGGGATTTAAATAGCGGTTCACGACCGTAATACTGATAGTATTACACCCGCTATAGCAGTAGAGTTGCCGTCCGCAATCGTTATTGCATGACCGCGATACCCGCAATCACCGATATAGCCCCCACTATATCCACAAACATGATAAAGGCAACGCAATCGAAAATGCAACCGCTATTTAAATATTTGATCGATACTGAATGTCTAGGTATCGATGCTTATTAGACTAATTCAAATCCCATAACCCTGAATCGGTATCAGTACAATGAATCAGTATCAGTATTGTACTTGTATAGTATTGATACCGGTCAAGTCATCTCCATGTTGCATATTAGAGAGGAAAGTTTGCTATCGTGCAATTTAGTCCCTATTAAATTGTAATGTTTATGGAATGATCCTAAACTTTTAGTTAGGACTAATTTACACAATGGAAAAACTTTAGAACCTAAAGTATGTTGTGGTGTTCTAATTGGTCCCTAATAATCATGTATGAGACTGTAATGACCACTGAGACTCTAAATTCATTATTTGATTAATTAAATATCTAATATTCGAACTAGGTTTAAAAGTAATCGTTCCGATCAGTTACGTAACATAATCGATCCAATTCCCAACCATATCGAATCGAGAATGTCACATTTAGTGGAATCACTCTTCACGGGCATTGATTGTATAATCCTATCTTCCAGCTAGTTTATGACCTAATGCCACTCTAGAAGGACATTGATGTACTGATTCCTTTGTCAAATACCAAAACTCGGAATCTCAGAATAGTAACTCCACCCAAACCCTGTCATGTTTTCCATCGTCTTATTTGTGCTACCAGACAGAAACAGAAACAGGCATGAATATGTGACATGAAAAATAAAAGATCAAACAGACAAAATCGCTTTCACCCCATATTTGACAATCCAAAACTTAAAGTAATCCGACAATGACAAATGAAAATACTCCATTTACTGGGGAGAAGAAGAACAGTAATTATCAAGAGAAATCATCACCATAAAATAACTAGCTTCTTACTCACGCTCCCAGAGGATTGCTTTTAATTATCCTTTTAGGGAACCAAACAAACGCTGGAGTAAAATAATTTTTTTTAAAAAAAAATCAATAGAAATGATGAATGTTATTTTTATTCTTACATTTTTCACAGAAGAAGCTCTGTCATCATCGACCCCATTGCGAAACAGCTTGCCACTACCTGAAGTTTCCTCTAAGCTCAACCCCAAGGGAAAAACCTGTCCCTGAAACGCACCGCCTTCGATTCCGCCGATGTGACCGGCGCATTCACCGGAGCTGAGCTGTAAGAACATTGGTGCTCCAGCTTCCGTACCGGTTCCAGCCAATCCAAAGTAGGATCCAGATAAGCCCGTTTCAGACGGGGAAAAGTTGGGGAGTCCCAGGATTTGCTCGAGGAAATCATCGCCGGCGGGGACGTCGTTGGCCATGAGGAAAGTGGAAAAGATATCAGTGGAAGTGAGTCCGAGTAGCGCGTTACTGAGTTAGGGGGCTAGTAAAGAGCACGTACATTGAAGGAAACGGCAAAACAGAATTGAAACAAACAAGATGATATAAAAAGAAGAATAGAAAGTTCAGAGTTTTGGCTTTGCTCTGCTTTTTTGAAGCTTTGAGAATTGAGAGAGAATCAGAAAAGGACAAACAAATATATGCAAAGGAAAAGCGAGGTCTTTTATATTTCTTAAATCATTGTTCTTTTCAAAAATTGCAACTTTTTTTAAAAGGGGTTTGCGTTTTATCAAAATTACGTGGCATACCATTCTTTCTTTTTGTAGATTGCGAGTATAGGGAAGACATACGAGTATAGTTTATGGATTTCGTATGGTATTTGTTTTAATTTAATGAGGATGAGTATAAGTTTAGTGGATAGTGGATGGATGAATATAGAAAATTATATTCACCGTGAATAGTTATAGTGGGTAGGTGACGAGTATAAGACTCTATCCGTCCATTTCGTATTTGTTCGCTCCACATTCACTCATCTATTAACTACACATCATATAAATTTTGGTTCATTATGAATTTAAGTATAATTCCAAAGACTATTATATAAATCTTAAGATTTTATTATGTAAGAATATAAATATTTTTAAAATTGAAGACGGTTGTTTCTCCTGTCTCAAATTCTCAATCTTAATACTATCTAATTTTATAGATTATTATATAAATCTTAATATTTTATTGAACATTACTTATAATTTAACCAAATATTTGGATAAATTTTAAAATTTTATAGGACATTATTAATAATTTTCAGAGACTATTGTGTAAATATTAATATTACCTGAAATTTAAAAATGTTACGTCAAAGAACAAAAATAGTATGTGTTTGTCATTTATATTTCTAGATTTTAATTAATTCTTTTATTATGATGCTTTATATATTAAGACCGTGGCTTATTTTAAATTCTATGTTAATCCTTAATTCAATTAATCTTTATTTTATTTTATTATGATTCTTAGTAGATGTGTTTTATTTTATGTTTTTTTGCTTATATAATATGTGAGGCTATTATCATGTGGATATATACAGGTACAAATAAGTATAGGGATGAGTTGTGACTATCTAGTTGGGAAGTGAGTGTGGGGTGAGTTTGAGAATGTACTCACGTGGGTATGTGTGAATTTAAAAAATTTATCTGTCGTGAATAATTGATATAAAAATATTATATGAGTATGGAGATAAGAAACAGGGTGTCCGCACTTAGTCTGCTCGTGTGTCATTCTTGCCTTTGTAAGGACAAATTACACTACAAGTTTAGTGATATTACAAATGGTTCCTCCAGTTACACCACAAAGTTTAGTGAAATTATAAATGGGTCCTCCAATTTTAAAAGGTTATAAATGAGTTATTCAATTAAGCAATTCAATTGTTGATTAGTTAATAATTAGATAATTATGTGATGTGTGATATTTTACTTATTAGAAATATTATATTTTAACTAATTATGATCAAACCATTCAATTAATTAATTGTAACGATCTAAATCATCCGATTAATTGATTATAACAATTAAATTATATGTCATCAAATTATTTATCGTCTTATATATAACAATTAAATTATATGTCATCAAATTATTTATCGTCTTATATAATAGTGGATGAACCTCAAATTTCATTATAAAATTTACTTCAATCTTTTGATTTATTCTGTTAGATTAAATCCTTGAGAATATCTTCTAAAAGTCACGAAAATCACCTCAAAACTTCTAAACTTCTTAGATGTAATCTACATTAACCACTATTAAATATTCTATATCTCGAGATATATTCTTTGACGAACAGAATCAGACGCAACGTTTATATGACAATTCACAAAACTTACATGATAGTCTATAATACTGATGTGATAGTTCACGATGACGTTGTGATAATACATGATGGACAATTATGTGATAAATAAAATTAATTGATTTTTTTGACTAAATTCATGTATAACTAATTCTTTTAAAAAGTTTAAGTACTTAATTAATTTTAAAAAAATTAAGAAAATATTTAAATTTAAAATATAAAATATGAGCAATTATTAAGATATTTAATACAAAAAATATAAAAAATTATAAAATTAAATTATTAAAAAAATTAGTTTAAAGACCAAATTGAGTGTATAAAAGTTCGGAGATCATATTGATTATTTTTGCAAAAGTTTGAGGGTTTCATATACATTAAGTCAAAAAATATTGTTGAAAGGATTTTACTTCAAGTTAAAAATCGAATTCCTGTGTTTTCTTATTTTCAAATTTCTAAAATAATTTTAATGAAAATACTGAAAATATATTTTTTATATTTTCATATTTTCACTTGTTTTTGTTTTAATTTTTCAGAAATTATTTTTTAATTTTACAACCACTTTTTTTTCAACGAGTTCTATTTTCTAAAAACTGAAAATAAAAACAATTTATATTTTCTAAAACTAAAGAGACAATGCATTTCTCCAATTAAACACTTCTCGGATTAACACTGAAACCCGAAATTTCAATAGAATTAACCAAATACTAAAATCTTATAATTCAATAAATAAACCAAGTAAAATGTTGCGTTCCAACAAAATGAACTAAATACCAAAATCTTAAATGTTCAATATAATACTTATACTTTGACAAAATATCTAATGTGATACATATACTTGTAATATGTCCAATAAGGTACATTTTGTCAAAGTAAAGGTACCAATAAGCCCAAGCATGAGTGCACGTATGCATGTATAATAATCTTAGTTGCTTACAAGTTACAAATACTCCCGACTCTCATTCTCTATATGGAAGTAAAATCACGATATCAATTACTCGTGCTCTTAAGAACATATCATACTGTGAAAACTTGAAATTGTTACCACAAACGAAGTAACAGTTGAAGAAACCACATTCTGTAACACCATTTATCATTATAGTGCAAAAGCTTTAAACAAAACACATTCTGTAACACCATATATCATTCTAGTGAAAGCTTTAAATGGCAATGAGGTTTCGACAAAATAATTCAGAGTTTGCTTCAAACAATGCTCTGAATCATTCCCATGCAACGAATTTGAAAAGCCATCCCATTGACAAGTTAAAAGACAACCAAGGGGGAAAGCCTACAAGAGAAGGAAACACGAGCAAAAACAATGCAAATTCCAGCAAAGGGATAGGAGAGGAATGCAGGTCATGGATTGTATAATCATGATGATCTTCTACGGATTCTTTTGGAACAAATGAAAATAGTTCTAAAATTTAGCCTAAGATCTCTTCACTGTATATTCCATTGCATAAACTCATAGCAAAACAAATTAATTGGAAGAATTCATCTTCCCACCAAAGGCAGCCTCAAACACATGCATAGTGAACATTCACAATCGTAGGCTGATTCACAAGTTAAAATACATAAAGGAAAGCAAAGCACTTAATCATAACTCATAATTTATAACATGTTCATCACAAGAATTGATTCTTTATGAGGCAGAAGTAAAACAGAGCAAGCATATTAATAGCTCATTCCGTCCATATGCACTGAAATACAATTAGCCTAAGGCAGGTTTATAAGTTGGAACATAAAGCAAAAGCATAATAATCTCATTAAAACAGGGGTAGGTAAACAGAGACACAAGTACTGCATTTAAAGCAGACACTAAGAAGACAAAGACCATTGTTACAGCTAAGATTGTTGCCATCATCCATCTAAATGGATACTTAAGTTCAACCCAAATTGCAGAAACATAGCAAAAACATGAACTGAGTCTAGAATTAGATATAATTACCAAAGGGGAAGAAATATAGATATAGAAACATAGACCCGACAATCTGTTTATTACTCTTTCTCTTCCCTCTCTCGGTTCCATTGCTCAATCCTGGCTCTCCGCTCCTCACTTCCTTCCCTAGCTGGTGGGGGGCTTCTGCTTCGTTTAGGACTCCCATGTTTTCGCCTGCTGCCTCCATCACGGTCGTGCCTATCCGATCTTCGTCCATTCCTATCACGATGATCATCGCGGTCTCGGTCATGGGACTGAGACCTATAATCCCTCTCACGTCGGTGGTGGCGAGGACTAGCACTCCTACTCCTGCTCCGGCTAGCGCTATACCTGCGGTGCCTCCCAAACAACTTCCTTCTCAACTCCCTCCCGATTACCTTGACATGCATAAAATTACAGTAACCTCCACGGTTACAGCTATTCTCCTCGTATTGCCGACAAGTCGCTTCGCGGAAGTCGGTGACAGGGGAAAAATCGGCAATGATAGGACGGCCAGAGTAGAATCTTCCTTGAAGTGCCTGGAGGGCGGCTGCCGCCTGATCTTCCTCCTTGAACTGAACATACACGTTTCCGATCATGTGGTCGGCGAGGTTATCACAGATGTTGAGGCTCTCGATCTCACCAAACTTGCTGAGCTCCTCGAAGATGTCCTCGTAAAAATCCTCAAAGTGTTCCTGGATCTTGCGGGGGTCGATTGGCTGGCCCTGGGCATCGACGCCGGGGGTGATCATGTCTGGTCGCTGGTACATGTTGGAAAGAAGGAGCGTTGGTGAGATCGTCGGCCGGTTGTGGAGACGTGAACACCTGTCCCCGTGCCGGCATGCTCCGATCTTGAAATAGAAGGGGCAATTGACGCGGTCTTTCTCGGTACCGAAGATTGAGGCCAAGTGCTCCGCCATTGTTGCTTTGAATTAAGGGGAAAAACACGCGCAGAAGACTGATGAAGGTAATTTAATTCAAAATCTTCGATCTAATTGAAGGAAAAATTAGCCAAAATGGCGTCGGAAATGGAGGGGCTGCGGTGGGGGTTAGGGTTATCGAAACCCTAATTCTGGACTTCTCGTTTTGTTGAAGAAGGGGGAAACGGGAAATTATGATTTATTCTTTTGTTTATTTAACAATTAGAGAATATTACATGGGTCTTTTAATTTTATTTTATATTTTCTTCTGTTTTCGAGTCTCGAGGATCGGTGAAGGTTTTCGATGATTCAATTTTTTTTTTAATTATTATAAGTGTTAATTACACCGTTTCTATTTTGACTTTATTCTTTTAATTTTATTCATTATACTTTTAATTTTTTTAATTTACTTACTAAATTTTATAAATTGAATCATTATGCCCATTCATTTATTATCTCTCTAACATTGTGATGGCGTGTTATTTTTTTATTATTATTTAGTTTAAACTAATTGAAAATATAAAGGGTACATTATATCGTTCTTTACTGAACTTTACTCTTTATTCTCTTTTGCTCACCCAATTATAGAATAAAAATAGAAAGTGGTTAGATGCCACCGTCGACCACTATAGATGGTGGTCATTTGGCTCGAAATTTCATGGGTCACTTCGCCTCGACACCTTGAGTTCGAATCTAACCTCTATTTTGTCGAAACTTGCTCCGAAGTCCACGAATTAAAGATCGAAATTGAGGAATCCAAAAGTTTTAGTCGAGATTTACATATTTTGGGTCATTTTTCGGTGAAGCAACCACTAGATTCAAACTCAAGGGGTCGAGATGAATCGACTCATGAATTTTGAGACTAAACGACCACCATCAATGATGATAGACGATGGACAAAATGAAAAATGACGTGGTGGCCGACGGTGGATACCGGTCACCTTATTTGCAAAGTAAAGAGAAAATAGGGGAAAGAAAAGGATTCAAAACGACTTTGTTTTCGTTTTGGTGTATATTTGAGTTCTCAAAACGTTATTTTTATGCTTGTGTCAGGTCATAACACCATTAAAAAGTTAATGACAGAGTGAGCAAAATGATTCAATATGTAAAGTTTAGTTAGCAAATTAGAAAAATTAAAAGTATGAAGAGTAAAATAGGAGAGAGAGTAAAATTCAGTAAGTGTTGAGTATCGAGAGGATAAAATAGCCAAGAGGGAGTGAATTGACAATTAAAAGAATAGTGGAAATTTTTTGCAAGAAAGTGAAAATTTTGACACAAGCAATTTTAGAGTGGTTCAACTTCTTCAATGAAAACTGCATCCACTACCTTAGCTTCCACACTAAGGATTTCAATAAATTCACTAATTTGTTCAAACCTTTTAGGTCAAGGTGTAACCTTACAACTCACGTAGACTTATACCCCAAAGTCTCAAGTGTACAATTCTTCCTAAGAAGAAATTGTAAATAGAAAACTTTGAAAAACTACATAATTCAGAATAACTAGAACACTTGAAAATGAAACAAAGAAGTAAAAAAGTGTTCTTGAAAGCAAAAAAAATGTTTAATAATATTGATTTGAATTTTTTTACTTTGATTGCTTTGGTTTTTTCTTTATTCTCTTGTATTCACATATGACTTAGAATCTTGTTTTTATAACCCCTTCATTCAATTCTAGTTGTTTGGGTTGTTATGGGAGTTAATAGAGCAATTGAGATGAAATTTCCCGCAATAAATGTTGTCATATGCCTTGAGTGTCGATACTCGAGCTTGGAGTATCGATACTGCCTGCATTAAATACAAAAATCTAGCCATTGGTGAGAGGGAAGTATTGGTACTCCAACATGAGTATCAATGTCGGTATCAAAACTTGAGTAGTATCGATACGAAATTGGCTACTGAAATTTTGTATTTGCCAAATTCACAAAGGGAGTATCAATACCAATATCGGTACCACATGAACAATATCGGTACTATTCTTGCAGTATCGGTACTGCAGGGTTAAAATTTGATTTTTGACTCGATTAAAATTTGAAACCCTTTGTAAAAATGTTTGAACATTAATTCCAATATATGAATTGAATTTTCAAAATAGTAAGGAGTAAAAATGGAGCTTTAGACCTTAAGAAGAATTTATTTATTCGAACAACTGAATCACATATAAGCTTGAAAATTGAATTAAAACTAATATTAAAATTTCTTTAAAAATATTTACTTTTGGTATATCAAAATATCAAAGCATAATTTAACAATCTCCCCCTTTTTGATATAACAAAACATTTGAAAAATTTTAAGATTTTAAGATTTTCTTGAAAATAAACACTCACACTTACTTTAACATTTCTTCCCTTTTTTATTAAATCAAAAAGCTTAAATAAGATACAAATACAAGATGTGAAGATCAAATTTGCCGAAAGAAGTTAGTCAACATAAATAATATTCTTAAGTAATAAACATGTTCATAAATAAAAATATAAGCAAGTATCAAATATAAAAAACTGAAAAATCATAATAAGCATCGAAATGTCCATAAAAACATAAATAATCATCTAAAGCACAAAATATCCAAATCCAAAAGGCAATCGAATAACTAAATACCAAAATATCAAAGTATGAAAACATAATATCCAAAATCAATCAATCAATCAATCATCCGAGGGAAGAGGAGGTGCACCAGAGATAGATCCAATTGCTTGCTTCCCTTTTTGTGTCCACGCCGTCTCAAGCTTTTCCCATCCAAATTTACGAAGAGATTTAAGATCAATGTAGGAGGATAAGGGAATAATGAGATTTAGATTAACATTGATACCGATTTTGACAAATATATGGCGAAGAAGACAACCATAAACTAGGGTATCAAATTTCTTAGATTGAAAGCTATTGATGACGTCGACAAGGCCACCAAAGATTATTTGGGGAAAATTGATTTGTTTATTATTTTTGAAGACAATGATTTCACCAAATGTCTACGGTACGAAGGGTAGAGAACTTACCTCCAGATGGTTAAAACCACCAAAATATAATAAGATGAAAGAAATGCCCATGAATATCAAACACGTTGACGCTATGGCCGACTGCATAAGGGGATTCAACAATATCTTTCTTGTTCTCTATACTCTTAACATCTAGATCTAAGTCTCAGGCTATGAAAGTGGCATCGATGTGAATGTATTGCCCCCATTAGATATGAGTGAATACTAATAGTGGCATTTTGAGCTTCATCAACAACACAAAAAACATTTGAATAGAAGATACAAACAAGATGTTGAAAGACAATGGGTTTAATTTTGAAGGTGTTGTCTAATTTCTAAGATTTAAGAATCGGAAGATACTTAAATATAAGCTCTTTCATGGCGGAAAAGGAGGGCATGCGCTCACCCCTAAGAGCTAAAGTCTCAAATAATTGAGTGCATATATGCCTAAGGTTTTGGCGACCGGATTCATTAAAGCACGAGTTTTGAATTCTGAGCTCATTTGGATTTTGAACGGGGTTAAGAATAGGATTTGGAGTTGGATTTTTAGGAGGAGGTACTCGAGGAGATTGAGCTCGGGAAGTACAAGGTCATTTTGACATTTTTAGGATAAATATCGAGATTGGGTAATATGCACAAAGAAACAATATATATGTATGCTAACACCAATTCCCAAAAACTTAAAATGAGTCCACAATATTCAAGGTATTTAATTTCAAATTAAAAACAAACAAAAAAATCTATAGGCCTAACGTTTTAAATATATAAGTGTATAAAAAAATAAATATATATAAATAAGTATAATGTATATATATGTAAGTAAAAGTGTAAGTAAAAATAATTTTAAAAAAATCGAAATAATATGTATATATATAATTTTTCTATTAATTCAAAATTTATATTTTAAATAAGAATATAATAGATATATGATTATATTAAAGTATGATAACACAAATATAAGTTAATATTAACAAAAATACCAAATTCGAAATTTAGGATTAAAAAAATTAAAATTCGAATGAAATTATAAGTATATATGTGTAAAATCGCTTAAAAACTAAAGCCCAACAATTATTTACTGTTAATTTAACATATAAATGAAGAAAATTCAAAAAAAATCAAAAATAGGGTTTTTGAGGTTTTTACCTGGAATCACGATAATGAGATGGAAATGGATGAATGTAGCACGATTTAATGAAGAATACAGGATAAACGTGATGAATCCGACCGAAATTGACCCAAGGACGAAGGATTTTGATGGATTTTTTAGAGAGAAGGGCGAGGAGTTCATGATAGCTACTTTAGGGTTTGTGAAAAATAAACAAAATTTGCAAATTTTGACCTTTAAAACACAAATATGACCCCAAGTATTGATACTCATTTAAAAGAGTATCGATAGTATTACACTGAAAGAGATGGTATTGATACAAAGTATTGATACTTCTAACGATGCTATAAGAACAATATCGGTACTTGATGAACATTATCGATACTGAAGAAAAATATTATTAGTACTGTTGGTGAGAGGGGAGTATCATTATTCCAATATGAGTATCGATGCTAATATCGATACTTGACCAGTATCGGTACGAAATTGGCTACTAGAATTTTTATTTGCCAAAGTTAAAAAGGGAGTATCGGTACCAGTATCGGTACCACATGAACAATATCGATATTGTTCTTGCAGTATCGGTATTGTAGGGTTAAAAATGATTTTTGACTCGATTAAAACTCGAAACTTTTTGTAAAAATATTTGGAAATTATTTCCAGTATATGACTTGAATTTTCAAAAGAGTAAGGAGTAATAATGGAGTTTTTAACCTTAAGAAGAATTTTTATATTCGAACGGTTGAATCAAATATAAGCTTGAAAACCGAATTAAAAGTAATCTTAAAATTTCTTTAAAAATATTTACTTTTGGTATATCAAAATTTCAAACATGGTTCAACAATAAGGAACGGTGTAATTTACCCTTATTATAAAGGGTTTATATTAAGGGTATATTACACATTGAGCACATAAACTATTACTTTTATTCCATTTTGATACTAAAAACTATACCTAATGTTTTGTTTAAGTTTCATTTTGGTACCTCACTATTAAAAACTTAACGGTTATGTTGATGTGTCACCATAAGTTATTGCATTAAAAAATAAAAATGTTGCATCAATAATTATGTTAAATTTTTAACGATGAGTTACTAAATTGAAATCCAAACTAAACATTAGGTATAATTTAAAAAAAATAAAAAGTTTAGGTACCTAAATTGATTATAATATTAAGAGATGACCCGAGAAGGATATTGAAGATGTGCACGGGATGGGGCGGGGCAGTTTTTTCTTCCCTACCTTGACCTAAAAATATCTTGATTCAACCTGACCCATATGTCTCGATAATTATTGGTTTTTCTCCCGCTTCGATTTTTAAAATAAAATCCTGTTCTCAACCCAATTCGATATAAATATATTGATATTTTAAAATAATTAAATAATATATTTTATAAAAACATTTATAATCATTTATTATATATTAAATAATTAAAATAACATATTTTATAATAATTTATTACATTTTAAACATTTAAATAATTATATTTTAATATTATAAAGAACGAAATCCTTAAAACCTTAAATATTATATAGGCAAAGGGCTTAAATATTATATAGGCAAAAGGGTACCTAAGGCCTCGTACTTAAAAAAAATCTAATGTCGACCTTCATATTTTTTTTGCACCTAGTGTGACACTCTAAGTCAAAAAAACTTAATGTGGTTAACCTTTGACCAACGCTTTCCGTTGTTAACCAACGGCTCTGTTACCTTGTGCTGATGTGACATGTTAAGAAGGCCAAAATCCTATTATTTTTCTCTCAGTCTGGCCCTCTAACTCAAGAAAATAACTCAATATGGCCCTCCTATTTTGGTCACTAAACTTTAAAAGTTTTCAATTTAATCATTAAACTTTAAAAGTTTTAATCATCATGATTTATTTTTATTAATATTTATGTATGATGTAGCATTATTATTATTATTTTATTAATATAGGATTAAAATAATATTAATTAAATTAAAATTTTAAAATTATATTGAAAAAATATTCCCAAAATTGTAATTAAATTAAAAAAACACTCCCTCTACTTTATATATTTCTAAAATCTCCACTCCTCTCCTTTATCCTTTCATTTCATATTTCTTTCTTTTCAACCAAAGATTTCTTTTTTTTTATTTCATTACCCGGTCAAGTAGCTCATCCACGGTTTTTTCAATTTTTTTACAAGTTCAATCCGTGTTCACTAAATCTGGTAACGAAAGAAAAAAAAAAAGAAATATTTGGTTGAAAATAAAAAATGACACATCATACACAAATATTAATAAAACAAATCATGATGATTAAAACATGAGCAATTCAAAAGTTGAGTGATTAAATTGAAAACTTTTAAAGTTTAATGACCAGAGTAGAAGAGAAAAAATAAGAGGGCCAGATTGAGTTATTTTCTTCAGTTGGAGAGCAAAATTGAGAGAAAAGAAGAACGCTGACCTGCTTAACGTGCCACGTTAGCACAAAGTAACGAAGCCGTTAGTTAACGACGGAAAAGTCAAATGATCACATTGAGTTTTTTTTACTTAGAGGGCCACATTGGGTGCAAAAAAAAGGTGGAGGGCCACATTGGTTATTTTGAAAAGTATGAGGGCCTTAGGTACCTTTTTACCTATTATATATAGGTAATTTATATTAGATTAAATAGGATCGATAATTTTTAGCCTTAAATTTTATCATTTTTTTTCGATGACTCTCCCTATCATATAACTCATCGCAAACCCAAAATTTCAAAAAAGAAATAATTTTTATAACTCACCTTTCATTATATATATATATATATATATATATATATATATATATTTGGTACATTAAAGTTTAGGTCAAGGGTGACTCTTCTAGTCTAGGGTGAGTGCATACTTAAAACTCAATTGAGATTTACATAGGAATTTACAGATTGCCCATTAAGAGTGACGGTGGTAAGATTCAAACTTGACCTTACAAGTTTAAATTCCTGAATCTCAACCACTATAAAAATCTAGTAACCATATCAATAAAAAATAATGGTTAACAAAAAATTTAATTCTCTAAAAATTAAAAGGCTTAATACAAAATTAATTGACTAAACTCTACCTTTAATTGATTTTGGCACCTAACGAATTTTTCGTTAAAAATATGTACCTAATGTTTTATACATTACACTTTTAGGTGTCTACCATTATATATATATTTTTTTAATAATAAAAATATTATTTTTTAAAAGAAAAAAAATAAACCCCCGCGTCGTCCCTCTCCCTCCCACCCCCCACTTTCAACGACAACGACGAAAGCTTACCACCGACTGAATTTTTTTAAAGCAGAGCGAGGTACTTAATGGCGACTGTCGTGTAATGAACAACCAGCTGTAGCCGTTGGAATCATCGAAAAACAACGAAAGAAAACTTATAAAATCGATGACCCTTCGCAAAGCTTTTCACAAAGATCAACATAGTTTCACGATGGGTGAGAGACTGGGTTTTGGTCGCGGTGGTGAGACAGTTCTAATGGCATCAATGGTGATGACCACGGACCAACTGTGACCAATAGGCGGTGGAATTTTGGATATTTTGCTTTTATTTAAAATTATAATATTAAAATTTTTCAAATAATTTTTTTTGAAATTTTATATGAGTAACGACCAAATTTAACGGTTATTACGATCTAGACATCTAAAAGTGTAACGTTAGAAACATTAGAAACCTATTTTTAGCTAAAACATTCTTTAGGCTTAGGCACAAAAAGTCAATTTGAGGTATGTTTAGGCACCTAAAAGTGTATTAAGCCAAATTCAAAAATTACATCGTTTTGGGATTAGTTTTCATGTCATAACGAGTTAATTATTTAACGATAGAGTGACTAAAACAAGAGCAATTCAAAAATTAAGTGAGTAAATTAAAAAAGTTTAAGCTTTAAAAACTAAAATAGGAGTAAGAAGACATATGTGACATATATATTAGTTTTACCGAAAATAAAAGTGAAAACTTAATATGTGACGTGTATAATAGTTTTACATTTTAGGTCGATAATAGAAAGGAAAATTCTACAATGCTCAACGACCATCGATGAACACCACTAACAATAAGTGTCATTATTTTAATTTATAAAAAATTAAAATTCTAAAGGACTCAACGTATAATTATAAATTAGTTAAAAATTTATTAGTAAATTATTTAAAATAAAGGGTAAACTATACCACTGACCATCTAACTATTTCTTTTTTCATTTTGACCACCATTTTTAAAAAATTTTCAATAAGGTCACTCAACTATTTAAATGCTTTCAATTAAACCACTCACCTTTAATATTTAACGGATTAACAGAGAAGCTGATGTAGCCTTCAAAATATTTGGTATAATTACACATTTGGTCATTGTTACTCATATATTCTATCAATTTGGTCCTAGTTTTAATAAATTAAAATAAACTTAACCCTCAAATCAAATGGTTACATGTGTAATTATTTTAAATTTTAAATTTTTAAATTTTGAGGGTTAAGTTTATATATTCTACCAATTTGGTCCTAATTTTCATAATATATTTTGGATTTTTGAACATTAATGTTTCTTGAAATTTATGACTGTGTAGTTATTGCTTGAGTTCAACTCTTAAAATACACGGTTTTTGAATTAATTATCCATGACAACCAAATTTAACTTAAATGATAGTTGTTTTGGTTAAATATGTTCTTTGTAGGACCATAAAATTTATGATATTGTACAAATCTAAATCATATCAAATTTAAAATAAATTTGATATTTTAAAGTTAATTATGTACTAATTATATTAATGAGTTAGACCAAGTTCAATGTCAAAATAATTCGATTTAAGGTTCTAACTGAGAATTGACAAAAAAAAAAGGAGTTCTTAAAGGACAATTAACCTAATAACACAATGTATATCATAATATTATGAGTAAATAAAAACTCATTCTTCCTTATTTTTGAAAGATTATGTAGTTTATTTACATGATTCATAATACTTTATACTATTGTTTGTTTATTATTTATATTTAGACAATGATCAAATGTGCAATTATACCAAAAATTTTAACTGTCACGTAAGTTTCTCCGTTAAATATTAACAAGTGGCTTAATTGAATGCATTTAAATAGTTGAGTGACCTGATTGATAAAATTTCAAAAATGATGGTCAAAATAAAAATTTTTAAATTTTTAAAAATTAAATTAAGTGTTCATCGGTGTTCGTCGAACGTGACAAACTCCTCCTAATAGAAACATTATCAATCAAGTAATTATAACTATTTTTGTTTGATATTAACGAAGTTTATATTTGGAAAGAAATTTGCATTAAAATAAAAATAGACCAACTCATAAGAGAGCTCAAGATTTTTCTTAAGAGATGGCAACAAGTCTGAGTAAGATTTTTGCCCACTTCAACTTTATTTAAGAGGTTTCCAACATAATTCGATCGGAATATAAACTATTTTTTTATTCAAATCTAATCTAAAAATAAAATTAGCAAAAAATATAAGATGTCCTTATACTTTAAAAAACAATTATTGTGATTCTCGTATTTTTTTTCTCTCAATGTAACCCTCTAACTCAAAAAATAAATCCAATGTGACATTTTGACCAGCGTTTTTCGTTGTTGACCGTTACGATGTTAACGTGACAATCCACGATGATAAATAACATGATAAATGAGATAAATTGATAATTCAAACATGATAGATGGACTGTCATATCAGTATTATAGATCACCACATTAGCACCATAACGATTAAACGTCAAAAAGCAATAGTCAAAAGATCGCATTGAATTTATTTTTTTAAGTTGGAAGATCATATTAATAAAACAAATAATATAAGGTCACATTGATTTTTGCTCTTCAAAAGTACAAAGACTGATGCCCTTTTGCCGTAAAATTATACATTCGATTTTAACCTAAAATTTAAGTCTGAAACATTGAGATCCAACTCAATCGTATCACATCAAAATTGGATTTTTTTTACCATCCCTGTTTCTTCCTCACAAATGATTAATATTATTATTCAGGCTATATCCCATGCTCCAAAGACTCTTCAAACATCATTTATTCAACTGAAAAAAAGGCATCAAAGCATATCTCCAAATTGGAAGTAGGGAAAAGAGAAAATAATTGAAGCAATAATACAAGGAATGGAGGATCATAAGGATGGTTCTTTAATGCCTAGAAGCCACTGATTCCGTAGAGAAGAGGTGTTTAACTCGTGAAAGGATAGAATCGTGTGCAGGATCATAAGGATGGTTCTTGGATGGAATCTCCAAAATTGCTGGAATTGGCTTGTTATGGCTATCCACCAGAAACCTAACCATATTGGCAACCTGCATGCAATCAAAAAACAGCTTACTTTACCCAGCTTCGATGAATCCAAATGCAGATTTGATCCAACTTGATTTGATTGTACAAAGTCGACAACATGAATTCAAAACGACTGGAATTTGAAATAACCTAAACAGCTATCTTCAAATGACTCGGACCAAAACCAATCAGCAATTAAAATAATATGAAGCCGTAGTGCCTTAACCCAAATAACTTGAGCCTCGCACCCGAAAATGACTCAAACATAAAACTAACGATCTAAAATCACTCAAAAACTTTAAAACTCACATTGACCCAATCCAAAACCAAAACAACTCACTTGATTGAAAACAAGTATAAGTAAGAGCATGAGAAATAAGACACCCATCTTACCAATTTTTAACACTTACTAACATCTGTTCACCCTAAACTGTCCACATGATTTGCTTCTATTGAGCAACAAGTTATCAACAAACAAAATTTCCACATGGGAGAACTTAAAAGGGAAGGTTTGAAGTAGACTCATAATTGTCATCAAGCAATTGGAGTGCTCAACTTACAAAGGCGTTGACACCTAAAACAAATGGGATATGAAAACATATTCAGCAGACAACTTACATATTGATTAATCAGCACGACAGCGATATCTGTCCTTGTTGTGAACTCTTTAAATGCTTCTTCAATTTGTTTTACAGTGGTTTCTAAAAGGTGAAGACAAAAGGCATTCGATAAGTGAAAGATAATTATGATAAGAGAAAATACAAAGAAAGAGATAGCCAAGGGGTATAAATCTATAATCTAGTATGTATTCCATTCTTCAATGATATGCTAGTTCTTTTCAAAGAAAGCATTAACCGGTGAACCTCTGCATCCGATGAACAAATACACAATCATGAAAGGAACTACTTAATGCGAAGAAGATTATAAAGACAAGTAGAAATAAAACAAAGTTCAATAGCATACTTGAGTCCACGACAAGATAATTTGTCTTTCTCCGCAAGTCAACATTACCCACTCCAGATAGTAAAAATCCAACCACCGTGTCCTAGCTCAAAAGAGACATAAATCAGACAGGTTATATCAAATGTATTGCAGATCAAATGTAATGACCTTGGGTGTCATAGTAACATTTGCCGCACTACTAAACAAATATGTCATAAAGTGTTACCAAGAATGTGATAGGTACAGTACAAGAAGAGAAAATTTGAAGGTAAATCGCTACTTATGTGAAATGTAATTCAATAAAGCCAGCCTTTCTAACTACTAATGTTCCCCAATTGGAATTGTGTGAACTAATTCAAAAATTGTTGGGGAAATTGTGGTTTCTGCCTTTCTGATGCATGGTAAACGGATAAAAGAATGGAGCTTTTAAGGTAATTTGTAAAAGATGAATGGTGATTAGTAAAGTTTTCATACAGCATTAAACCTTTGAGTTTACCTTTTCATGATCATATAGATCTGAATGGTAACTAACCATTTTTCTTGCTCGCCCAAAACAACATCTAGTCTAGAGTAAACGAAGTTTACATCGGCGAAGCAACATGAATAAAACCTAGAACAATATTTTCTACCCCTTCCCCGGACAGATGTTTCAGTCGTTAACTAATTCATTCTTTAGAATAAATAAAAACTAAATTAAATCTTAGGCTAAATTTCGAACGGCTGATTGACAAAAAAAAAAAAAAGAATTACAAAGCTAATTCAATAAAGGCTCACCGGAAAAGTTATAAGGATTATGCAGCAAAATGATATGAAAACGAAAAAGGAAAAAAAGAACGGAGATCTGCGTGGTGATTTGGGAAGCTCCAAAAGTAATACTCACCTCGTCGGCAATCATAGCAATAAGAGCTGAGTTGTTAGTGGGAATCTGAACTCGGTTCGCCATTGGTAAAACTTTTGAACTACATGATCACAATAACCGAAGATATGAATCAGATTCGAATATCGGCTTAAAAAAAACTAGGCTGCTGTTTAAGATTTTGGATCAAATATGATAATACAAAAAAATCTACCTTTCTCTCGAGGATCGCGTGTTCCTACTCTCGTTGTTTAACAGAAATATCTATGTCAATTTGCACAGTATAAGTGTCGCAACCGTCTTTCGGGGTCTCGGAATTGGACTTCGATTTAAAAAATATGGATTAGAGTCATCACCGATTATTTATTTAAGAATAAATAGGCTGATCGGATACCTTATTTCTTACCTGATCTGCGTCTTTCCAAAGATGTGTCGGGTTCGGGAGTCGATTACAATCAAGGAAGGATTATCACCCTTGAACTGCCCTTTCGGTACTACGTAATTTCCAGTTGTCTTTGATTAAGAAAATTATAAGTTTAAATTAAAAGATAAAATAATGATCCAAAATTACTTACCTTTGACGGATTTACAAATATACCCTTTAAAAGTCTAAATATAGGTTAGAAGAGATGAATAAATGATAAATAAAGTAAAACAAATAAAATAAGGAGATTAAGAAAGAAATAAAGTAAATATAAAATGAATAGAATATATAAAATAAAAAATACAATAACACTAATATATACATAACAAACAATTAAATAAAAATAAAATGATAATGCAAATAAATAAATAAAACAAGTAAAAGAATATAAAAACATAAAATATAGGATAAAGATAAAAAGAAAATAGATAAATAAATGAGTAAAATATATAAAAAAGTAAAAGCATATATATATATATATATATAAGTAAAATAATAATAATAATAAAAAAAGAAAATCAAAAGTAATATACGTATTTATACATGTAAAATAGGAAATATATAAATATAAATATATATATATATATATATATATATATAATAACACTAAAAAAAACATATATACATATATAATAAAATTAATAGAAAGTAACATGCATATATAACAAGAATAATAAAGTAGGAAAAAAATGATTTAGGGGGGTGAATTAAATATTTTAAAAAACCGAACACGCCTCGGGGTAGATCTAGGTTCGAAACTTCGAAACCCCACCCCTTTTTGGTTATATGCGCAACCCACGTTTTGGGTTATTCGAACCAAATCTCAAGAAAAATAACGTGCACATGCGAGAAATGAACGAACCAATGTAAAAAAGATGCTACCTTTTATTTCCTTTTCGAATCGTTTACAATAGCTTTGCCTTTGTATTTTCCGTGCTTTCCTCTGTGTTTTGTGTGTAAATCGTGTGTTACAATGGTGAGTTACAATGGCTATTTATAGTGCTTGTTGATCCTATCTTTAGGAATTTAAATCTTAGTAGAACTCTATCCTATTTTTAGGAGTTTGAATCCTAGCAAAATTTTATCCTATTTTTAGGAGTTTGAATCCTAGTAGGACGAAAATGTGTGTTGACAGCTGCCCCTCTTTTGCCCATAGTCATGTAACGGGGATAGGGCAAAGATTAAAAGACACACTTTTCGTTCAGTGGAGTTGAAAATTAACTCTGATGTTTCAATAACTCCCTGTCGAATTGAGTTACGGATGACTCCTCCATCGTGAAGTCCAGTTCATCTTGAAATGATATGAAATTGAAGCCGTAGTTCGGAATTTGAATCAGCACGTGGCTTCCCGTTACCCTTCGGTCTTCTTCTCGGTTTAAAGACCTTGGATCGGAATCGAACTCAGAAATCTTCATTGACAGATAGCTTTTTCTTGACTTAAGCTATGTTGTTTGAAAATGGTTGCTTGTCACTAAGGCACGGCTAACCCAGGTCATCTTCTCGACTTGAAAACCTCGACTGCAATCGGAAAGTAGTGCGATTGATGTGTCATCGAGCTGAATGGAGTCGAACTCGACAATTTTGATGGCAGATAATCCTTCTTTGATTTGGATATCCTTCGTCGTGAAGTTGAAATCCAAGTAAGTAGTATTGTTCCGAGTCCAATATCCTCCGTCGTGAAGTTGAAATTGGCTCTGGAACCGGGAAATTGTTTGTTGACAACCAGCTGTCCCTTCGTTGTGAAGTTGAACTTGTGTTGTCTCGAGTCCAATATCCTTCGCTGTGAAGTTGAAATTGACTCTGAATGAAATTTTGTTGACAAGCAGTGGTCCCTTCGTCGTGGAGTTGAACTTGCATTGTCTGGAGTCCAATATCCTTCGTTGTGAAGTTAAAATTGGCTCTGAGATTGGGAAGTTGTTGTTGACAAGCAGCGGTCCCTTCCTCGTGAAGTTGAACTTGCGTTGTCTGGAGTCCAATATCCTTCGTTGTGAAGTTGAAATTGGCTCTGAGATTGGGAAGTTGTTGTTGACAAGCAGCGGTCCCTTCGTAGTGAAGTTGAACTTGCGTTGTCTGAAGTCCAATATCCTTCATTGTGAAGTTGAAATTGGCTCTGAAATTGAGAAGTTGTTGTTGACAAGCAGCAGTCCCTTCGTCGTGAAGTTGAACTTGCGTTGTCTGGAGTCCAATATCCTTCGTTGTGAAGTTAAAATTGGCTCTGAAATTGAGAAGTTGTTTGTTGACAACCAACCGTCCCTTCGTTGTGAAGTTGAACTTGTGTTGTCTCGAGTGTCACGATATCCTCCATCGTGGAGTTGAAATCGCAGATGTTTGGCTTCGAGCTAGACATCATTCGTCGTGAAGTTGAAATATATTCTCGAGCAAATTGTGTCGTTTCAAGAGAAACTGTCTCAAGGGAGACAAAATTTGTTTGAAGGAAAACATATTCAAAGATTTCGTTAAATTGTTTTCAAAGTTTATGTTTGGAGAGAAACTGTCTCAAGGGAGATAAAATTCGTTTCAAGGGAAACTATCTCAAGCGAGATAAAATTCATATCAAGGGAAATGTTTTCAATGTTTATGTTTCAAGAGAAACTGTCTCAAGGGAGACAAAATTTTCTGTTTCGAGGGAAACTATCTCAAGAGAGAAAAAAAAATCATTTCAAGGGAAATGTTTTCAATGTTTATGTTTCAAGAGAAACTGTCTCAAAGGAGACAAAATTTTCTGTTTCGAGGGAAACTATCTCAGGAGAGAAAAAATTAATTTCAAGGGAAATGTTTTCAAGAGAAACTGTCTCAAGGGAGACAAAATTTTCTGTTTCGAGGGAAACTATCTCAAGCAAGATAAAATCTTCTTAAAAAAAACAGCCTTGAGTGAAATGAAATGCCTTCTTTCGAGTGAAAACGGTCTCAAGCGAGACAAATCTTGTTTTAAGAAAAACAATCTTGAGTGAAATAAATCTTCTTTCGAGAAAAACAGTCTCAAGTATGTTTTAAGAAAAACAAATTTGAGTGAGATAATCATCTGCATTAAATGAGATTGTCTTAAGTGAGACAAAGTTTATATTGGAAATGTTGAATCTGGAGATGAATGTCGATCTTTCAATCTGTCGAGTTGGCTTTTAATCTCATCTTCTCCTGAAAGATCTGTAAAATGTATATGGATGTAACTATCATGATGATGTATGCTTGATGTATGCCCAAATGAAATTTATTTGCTGTTGAATTTGCCCTTAAGGGAGGAAAAATCAAGGTTTTTATTGCTCATGATGATGAATTCAAAGATGCAAATTTCATGCGTCATGTATGTACGTGTTGATGTATATGTTGAGATGTGAGGGGAATGGCTGCGTGTGCAGTCTTCATTCTGACTTAATTTGTCTTTATTTCCACCAGGGTGTACTCTTGCAGACCTCAAGACAATTTTTCCTTCCCTAATCAAATTTTGCCCCAAAGATGGTTTCCCTTGCCTCTGTTTCGATCTTGAGCTTCGGAGCAATATTTGTTGAATTCCAAGATATGCTTCCAGAGAACTTATCTTGTTTGAAAATGCTTTTCTTCTTTCGAATTTTCAAAATTTTGAAAAATATCAAAAAGAACTTTTGAAAAAGTTACCTCTTTCTAGGTTTCACAATTGAAGCAAATCATAAAACATGAGTTCATTGGATATCAAAAGAATCAAACACTCTTTTAATCTTTGATAGCTGCAAATCTTTGACAAATATCAAGATCGAAAAGTTGGTCTAGAGGTGGGTTTGTTTCATCGATTTGGTTATCGTGAAGATCATGGCATGCCCCTCTTTCTTGATTTGGTATTTTGATCAGAGACGAACAAAATGACACAACTAGCATAATCAATGACTAGACCTTTCAGAACACTTCTGTTTCAGTTCTCTGAAATCTTCCATTTGTTCAAGTTTCGTAAGCTCTTCTAACAAAGGTAGTGCAGAAATATCAGTCTAAAAATGAAATTCTTGAGTGCTCGTGTGAATTTGACTATAACAGGTGTTTCTCAACTCCCTTAGTCTATTATTACCGAAAATTTCTTTTTAGATGAATTTGATTTATTTTGCCATTGTCTGGCTAGCCGAATCCATAAAGTCAGGGCGTTCAACCAATTGCTTTAGAGGGACAGCTTATAATCACTTTTATCAGGTTTAACTGAAGGGTTCATCTCATCACAAAGTCTTTGACCTGACAAAAGCAGTAGAGCAAACACCAAATTGCCAAGTGTCCGAGCAATGTCATGATTTGAATGTAATCTATTCATAAAGCCAGGGCTTTCGAGTTTCCTCTATAACCAATTGCCTTAGTGGAATAGCTTAGCTTTAGAGGGACAAATCACTGAAGGGTTCGTCTCATCACAAAGTCTTTGGCCTGACAAAAGCAGTGGAGCAAACACCGAATTGCCAAGTGTCCGAGCAGTGTCATAGTTTGAACATAATCTATTCATAAAGCCAGGGCTTTCGAGTTTCCTCTATAACCAATTGCCTTAGTGGAATAGCTCAGCTTTAGAGGGACAAATCACTGAAGGGTTCATCTCATCACAAAGTCTTTGGCCTGACAAAAGCAGTGGAGCAAACACCGAATTGCCAAGTGTTCCAGCAGTGTCATAGTTTGAACATAATCTATTCATAAAGCCAGGGCTTTCGAGTTTCCTCTATAACCAATTGCCTTAGTGG